TCCGCTACATACGGCTTTGCGCGATATCAGGCAACTTTACTGATCCGCGGCGAGGCTCATCTTCGGCCCGAAGAATCGATTCCTGTTCTGCCACCACGACGTTGGGTCTGAGCCACCGATCTCCTCCTGGACTCTGATTTTGCTCTGCAGATCGTGCGTTCAAGCAGCATCCGAGGTCCCGGCGAGGAAGACACCGCAGATCATGGCGGCGAACAAGCAGGGGTACCAAGTACGCAAACTACCACGCAAACCGTTTATCCGTTCGAGTTCCAATTCCTCCTGCTGCATCCTTTCGCGCTCCTCCTTCAGCTCCTGTTCACGAAGGACCTCCGTCTGCTCCAGCCGCAAGAACTCTAAGACCTCTTCACCGAAGGATCCAAAGGCTGCAGAGGAACCAGCTCTCAACGTGAAGCAGGCGGGCTTCTTGACGTTCGCGGCAAGCAAGGCCTCGTCCGTGCCAGAGATCCTTGGCTCGTCCCGCAAGGCGGCTGAGCCTAAAGCCACCTGGGCAAGGTCCGAGCCGATCTGCAACTGGATCGCTGCGTGCAGGTCGTTTTCCACTACCACTGCAGTCAGCTCATCGCCAGGCGGTAATTCTTCCGGGACCCGGGACAAAGCCGGGCAACGCCATTGCTCAGAACCAGAATTCTCGATGCAGATGTGTCGAGTTTCGTTGTCCCAAGTTGAACTGCTGCCCAACCGGTGTTCAGAAAGAACAAGACTAACCAGGTAGGTGTAACCACGCACCCCTACTCACCTGCAACTTCCATCATCACCGCGTTTCTTTGCTAAATCAATATGCACAGTTGCTTTGATCAGATGGTCGTATTCGGATTTGTCCCTGGCATCAAGTTTGTATATATATATATATATACTTTACAAACTCCATCGGTTCTACCCAAAGAGCTATGTGAGTTTGCAATGGTTTGCCCATGAGCGGAGGTGCCTCCTGTTTGGTAAGGTGCCACTGAAATTGACGGCGTCATGCCGATATCAACAACCACCATCGGAGTTGAAATCATCAAACAACCAGCCTTTTATCACTGCCGAACTGATTCTCATGATACACTTGATGCGCCAAACGTAGATCCTCGCCCTGTCTCGGTCTCACAGCTACACCTCTGACGACCTTGACCTGGTCTGCATTCTTGGTGCATCCTTAATCCTTCCGGTTATTTATTCCTCTACAGCATGCCTCGCACTATTTCTGCTATGTTAAGACTCATCATGATGCCCTCGGGCGGTGGCGACGGACGTATTGTTTACGGCGCTGACAAGGCAGTGCTGTCTGGATTCTCGTTGTCGTGTTATGTGCTGCAAGGCATGGGAGAGGTAAGTAGCACGATTCAGGCAGACCTGTACTGGTTAAGAGCAAAACAGCAGATTGTGCACCACATGCGGGCTTCTTTTTGCTCTCAAGGCTGTTGGCGAGTCTCCAGTCCACAAACCCACAATGCAGGCATTGTAGAAGCTGCCGGCGGCCTCAGTGAAGACTATTTGCCTGTGGAGCATGTTCGGCAGTGGTACAGCAGCCCAGAATCACAGGACAAGACAAAACGAACTATATGAAACCCTCACGACCTGGAGCGCGTCAGTTTAGATACTATGCTCTCTCGGGCTGTCAGCCTTCTAGCTGGCGACGAGGCTGAATGCGCAGGAGGGTTTAGGAAGCTCGGGGGTGCTGGAATCATGCTGCTGCAGGTTGTGGAGCAGGGGCGCATCCAGAAGCCGTGCTTACCCACGGGCTCTTCAAATCTTGCTCATTACAAGCCATACACATGATATTCATGCTGTTACTCTGCCTTCACCTGCAAAGCCTCCCACACAAGATGGCCGAATGCCTCCAAGCCTCGTGAACCTGCCTCAAGTCTTTGGTAGTGTCTGAACAATTGTCAACCCACCGCAGCAGGGCAAAGACTTTTCGCCCCTGTGCTGTCTCGTTGCCGCTGGAGATGCAGTGATCGTTGTAGCATTCCTTTTCGTACGCTGCAGGCTGCATGTCCTGCGGCACCCGACAAGAAAATCCCGGGCCGCTATGAACAAGGTCCAGCGAAGCCACGATTGGAAACTTCGGAGACCAGCAGGACCCACAACTGCCACGACATCTGAAGGCAATGTCAGAGCTCAACATGCCCAGGGTAGAGGGGTCAACGCTGTGCCGATGATGGTGCTACCGGTTGTGATGCATCTTTGCATCATGCTGAATCAGGCTGACCTCAAAATGCGGCACTGTGGCATCCTACGGTGCTGTGTCAAGCGTTTCACATGTCTGGCAGTGGGATGCCCTGCTCCTACATCGGTGCCCCAGGTAGAACAGGCATTGTGCCGACAGTGACAGTCGCGCTTGCTGTTTATTGCGCACTTTGGCTTGCGGCCCGGGGACTGCACGCATGGCTCTCGAATTTTAAGCATGCAAATCACAACAAGTATGAGCACATGCGTGTCTTTACTGTCGCTTGGTGACCTGCGGCTATTTTGGAATCACTTCAACAGACCATGGTCAGAGAATTCAAAATCGACTCCTGTTGAAAAGCTCGCCTTGAAAACATCCCAGTGGTCATGCGAGTGAGCATCAAGACATAGGGCTACAGATGTTGCGATAACTGTTGCTTCAAAAACCACGCTACGCTAGAGTACGAGCTTCTCATGGGCCTGAATCGTCTGCATGGCAGGCAGCAATGCATGGCCCAACTGACGGCGCCCCCGAACCACAGCTCCCCTAACTACCCTCCCAAACAGAGGTGTGACGAAAGCTCACCCGCAGCCGCGTTGCCGCGAAGGGCTCAGACTGCGGGCTGCGCTCCTGTCCCAGATCACAAGAGTCAAATAGCAGTGACCAGCGACATACCACGATCCTGATCCAATGCTCCGGTCGGGCTGGCGCAGCCAGTTCAGACCTGCACAGATGTCGTCTGTTGTTCGTGTTTGGCTTGCTTCCAATGGACCACTTTTGTTGCGCCGAAGATTGCGGCTACGGCTACAAGGACATCTCTGATAAAGCAAGTACTTAGTCTCTGGTGATCTCTGCTCTTTGTCGTCGTTGCTGCTGCATCCTTGTAAGCGAACCCGAACTCACGGGTTGCCGCTCTGTATTCTACGGTGGGGAATGGGTCGATGTTGAGTTCGTAAGAGAGGACTTATGCTATCAGAGCCGGCAATATTGTTTAAATGCCAACGTATCGATATGCCGAAGACTATTTCAAAGCGCTTCGCGACGGAACCGGCTGCTAAGCTCGGGCATCGGGGATGTCGAGTCGGTACCAAAACGAGCTTTGC